AGGATAAAGGCCATGTTTAGCGTCTTTCCAAGCTGTACTCCTCTCTGTATAACTAGCACATTGGGTAATATTTTACTGTTTCAAACCAATTGTCTCCTCCTAGAAAATATATCCTTACTATGACATGTTCAGTCCTTATTGTTACGCCATCACAAATAACAGCAGGCTTATCCCCCAAAATTCAAGATCTCTTGAAAAAGCTGCAATACCTACCACGGCTTCCTAGTTCCGCAGTATTTTCTGTACTGATTTCTTTTGTTGGACTCTGAACTTGTGGTTGGATATTGGGATCAGGCAATTCAGTGTCTATCTGACCATTCTGTAGCCTTTGTTTCAGCAACGATACCTAAACAAAATATTCTTGTTGTTAAAAACAAGGATTCTAAGTAGATCATATTTTCATCTTCAAAAGTAGAGAGCTAGATAAAATTTTATCAGCAAGTGGAGAAACGAAATATCTGTCTGAATTTTTTTAGCATTTTTTAAAATTAGAATTATGTTTCCAATTAACAAAAATAGTATCATTATGAGTGGAGAAAGACCAATTAAGCAGAATACACAAGTTTTGCCAAAGCAATTGTAGCTCAGACATCTGCTAATGTTGTGTTCTTGATCATAAAGGCATTACAAAGGTATATAAGCGCAGATCAAATAATCATATTTACCATGAGTGAGATTTTACAAAGGTATTCTCTACCACAAAGATGCACTTAATTTCTAAATAACCATAAGTTCTCAAGAAGTTTTACAACATCATAGCAATTACAATAAGCCATGGACATGCATTATAGGAAATACATAATTTAAGAAAAAAAGTAAGAGCAGCAATTTTAAAGAATATCTGTTGGGTAAGGTATCTCACCTGAGTTTGTAGGACACTAATAAGTTGATCCTTTTCTTCTAAGGAAGCATCAAATTCCTCTTGAAGATGTTTCTTAGCTTGTTGATCCATCTGGAGCTCCTGAGAATCATAAACAAACACATCTCAAACGAAAACTGAAATGTGAATTTAAAAGGCTTATCAAAATATTATGAAATAATACTAAAAACACTTATCCACAGCAGTGACCCCAGAATACAACCATAAAGTGGATATTGCTTTCACTATACAACATTCCACACAACACAGTAAGAACATATCATTACAATGCTAGCATTAAAACAGCAAGAGTCTAGATTTGATGCAAAACTATCACGGATTCTTTCTTTCTAAAAATAAGTTTGTGTAGGGAGCACTTCAAGTCTGCTCCTGAAAACTCTTTTCCATGCACACATTTGTCCTGGAAGCTGAAGACTGCACTTCGGTAAACTAAATTCTTCATTTAGCCACCAGATTAAGTCAACATGAACAGCAGAAATGTAAATTCCTCTTATGCTCATTCAATATGCAAGCATTCTAACAGGACAAATGCCATTGGCTTTTTTATTCCTCAAGTGTGTCACAAATAAGAACGCCAGAATATGCCCAAGAACTTAAGTGTGTGGCTTTACTTGCGTTTATTTGACTGACCACCTTTAGAAACTTTCATATGTTGCCTAAATGCATTAGTAGGATCTACATAATCTTACAAAATACTGGCTAGGGAGGTTTCCTTCATTTACATTCTACACTTTTGAAGTTTAAATATTTTGATTTCTTTAAATAATTATTGTTCTAATAAAAAAGCATTTAAAGTTAAATCAATTCACATCTAACTGCTTATTGAGAGAATCAGAACCATACGCATTTCATGCATGTACTATGAATAATTTCCCAAACTTGTATTTTTTTTATTTATATATCTACTTCATCCATATATATCTCCCCAGCAATTTATCCCAGGAAACTAATGCTTCTATGAGCACTATTCTGCAAAGATCACTTGTATAAAAGCAAGCACTACCCAAAAGCATGGGTTCTGTTAGCCAGGCAAAGATAGAGGATGACAGAAAGAGAAGGAAAGGATGAAAAAGCAAACAAGAGACAGAACACAGGTCACTGGATGCTTTCCACGTTGCTTTCCTCCAACTCTGAATCTTGCTTTTCTGCTCTCTTGCTGCCTATCCCCCACCTCCAAGAGCAAATCCTGGCTGCAATACCTGAGCCTGATACCCGCTTTGAGAAGCACAGCGGTGCGAGCTGAGCCTGCCCAGCCACGCACACGAGGGACAGTGCTGGAAGGCATCCCTGGGAAAACTACTCCTCTCTCTCCCCAAATAACTATATCCACTTTTTAGCCCCGCATCACCTCAGGTTCTCCACAGCTACTGATCACCCTTCTGCCTCGTGCTTCTGAGCTTTGGAAGCAATTCCTTCCAAGCAAAGCAAAGCAGCTCAGTGCAAGAACAAGCGCCAAAGAGATTTACTGAAGCCAACACAGAAATAGTCCTCTTTCGATCTCAAAGTCCCATCTGATCCTTGGCTGAGAAGGAGAACGCTAAGACTGCTTGAAAACTGCTATTGAGGAATTATTCTTAACACGAAAAAACTAAGGTAAGCAAGAGACACACTGATTTCCAGTGACTCTCTCATGCTGTCAACTTGGCCTCAGAGGAGACTTAGTTTAGTCTTACACGGCCCTCTTAGAAGAAACTTGTCTGATTCAATGTATGTATGGGGAAAATAGACTCTATGATGAAGAAAATATTTTTTAAAATTCATTTCTGATAACAAATTATTACATCAATGAGTGATCTATTTTGTATCATTTTAGCTTCCACAATGAACGACATACCATTTTATTTGTAATTTTTCTTTTAAGTCTGTTTTACCTAATGCTATAATACTTGGGCTTCCCAAAGACTAAAAAACTACTTTTTGAAGTTTTTCAATTAACAAAAAAGAATGTCAGTGTTAGATTTGAAGGAATCTTTAAATCTACAAGATTTACAAGAATTAAATTAAATTTTACGTCAAATATATATATAAATTTATATACATAAAACTCAGAAAAAATATATAGAAGATATATATGATTGGAAAGACTATGACAGAAGAAGTGAAAAATAAGTATGCACACATCCAACCCTTTTTCATAATCAAAAGCTTTAACTGTGGTATATATATGCCTTCCAAACTTTATCAACCCAACAAGCTGGAAAACTAAACCTACTGGAGCATGCAGATACAGACTTAACACAGGATGAGCATCTTTCATTTGACCTTGTAGTGAACTGGAAAAAAAAAAAACATTGGCAAACCACTTCTGTCAGTAATGCTGTGGGTTTTCCCCTCCTATGGGCTGACAGTTTGGCTTAGGACAGGAGGAGAGCGAAGGCACAGGCTCTGGCGAGTGCGGCAGACTCAGTATTCTGGCCCCTGTTCTCAGCTGCTGGGGCAGAAACGGCACAGATCTGAACCAAAATCCTATCCCCGTGGCACACACGGTTCACAGCCTGCTTACCTGGATTACACCCTGCCTTGCTGAAGAAAAGTGCCCACCAATTTGCCAGTGACCTCCTTTTAAATGACTGCCTGCCTGACTGGTTGTGCAGGGGCTTACGAGCACATCCGGATGCTCACAGTTGCCATCCCTCGCCCTCAAGGGAATGACCCTGATCCCTGTGTGTGGGAGAGATGCCGGACTGCCTGGAGCTGGTCTGCCTTCAGGCAAAGGTGGGACCTCACCATGATCTGATGGCTCTTGCAACCTCCTTGCCAGTGTGGCTGCTTGGCACGGCGCACACCTACAGCAGGAGTGCAGCCACAGAGAAAGCCCGTGGCTCTGAGCAAGCTGGTACCCAGCTTCCAGGTGAGGTAAGAGCATGGACAGAGAGGCCCTCACACATCTCCAAACCTGATGCTGCACCGGCTCTTGGGGCAGCAAAAAGGCTTCAGCTTCGCATTCTGCTTCATCAGGGTTTGACAGTATGGATTTGTGAAATTGTCCTTTTGATTTGCTCTGCCCAATAATTTGTACATGTCTTTAATTCAGCTTCATGTGTTTATTATCAATATCAAATACATTAGAGCTTCTCCTTTAGTTTCTCTATAACCTAATGAGACAAAAATTACAACACAACCTACTTGATGTTATGATCGAAATCAAAGTACACTGCAAATCCATTAAAACAATGTAAATTTTATAACTTAGATCAAGACGAGTATTTTTAAAAATTTGATCCTAATTTTTTATTGATGGTCATTAAAATCTTTATTAAAAAGTGCCTATTACTTGTATTTGCCTAACATTAGTATTTCTCAATACTAGAAGAACAACAAATTGCACAGGGACATCTACTGCTAGGCCCAGTAATACTGCAGCAAGAACCACGTACATTTCTACCCGTTTCACACTGAGCAGAAAAGCAGTTCAGTTGGTATGATCAGCTGCTCTGGCTGAAGAGTATGACAATAAGCTGCTGAATGGAAAACAAGCCAGAGAAATAACCCCATATAAACAAATGAAAAGAAGTGGTAAACAACGCTGCTGTGCGATAGGAAATATTTTGTAAGGTGAACAAAAAAAAATAAAAAATCAAAAGCTAGCCAGAGAAAGAGCCTAGGTATGCGTGGCACAAAGTAAACGCTCAATTGATAAAGGAAATTACCTCTCTCAGTTCTCCAATTCTGCGAAGTGCTTTATCCTGACTTTGACTCAGAATGCCCTGAAAAAAGGAAGAATAAACATCAGGTGTATTAAACGTAACTTTATTTATAAAGTACAAATAAATTCATAGGACTGTATTTCAGCAGAAGAATTAATGATTTGTATTTCTCTTTCAAGTCAAACTTGATGTGTAAGCATTATCATGAACTGTCAACTGCAGGTTGGCAATCTCTCACCTGAATTCAGCTGATGCAATAGAAAAGGCTGGAGTACAAATAGCTTCACAGATATTTTGACAAACTAATATTAGCTTGGCTTCCTTAGAAACCCCAGCTAAGAAAGTATTTTGTTATACACACACACACATATACACACACAAGATATTGTGTAAACATACACACACAATGCACTGAAAATTAAATCATAGAATCATAGAACCATAGAATGGTTAGGGCTGGAAGGGACCTTCAAAGGTCATCTAGTCCAACCCCCCTGCAAGGAACAGGGATATCTCCAACTAGATCAGGTTGCTCAGGGCCTCATCCAACCGGGCCTTGAAAATCCTTGTTTGCACTACACGTTTTAAGATTCAGAAAGGCATTCGGACAAGATGGGATGAAAAGTAATGCTTACTTGTAGCTTCTTCTTCTCCCGCTGGATAACTTGATAAGCAGAAACTAGCTAAAACACAGAAATCAGGTACAATGATGGTAATGATCTGCTTACAGCTATCAAAATAATTTGCTTAGTTCTATCACTATCTGCATTTTCAAACTCTTCACTTCACATGAGAAAGCTCTTCTGACAGAAACATACTTAAATTTTCTCAATGTTTCCTTTTTTCCATTTCTAAAATATCTCCAATGTCTTAAAAAAATAAAGCCTACATGACAAAACAATGAGGTTACTCAGCATTCACGCAGTTTTCCCTTCACTAAAAAGACCTCTAAGAACAGCCATGCTTCAATACAGGCAGTCAAAAAACCAACTGTATATAAATCAAGTTACATCCCAGAGAGCTGCCCCGCAGGGATGTACATTTGTGAGGGTACAGGTCCCAGAGAGCTTAAATAAAATTCATTTTGCAATGAGTATGCATTAAAAAAATACACTTACAAGTCTAGCAAAAAATGGTCTGTGTAATACTGAATGTTCTCATCCCATGTGCTTTGCATATACCCAGCGGACAAAGACAGACTGGAAGTGGACAATATTTCTCATTGTAAGCTGACAAAAGGACTTCATGAGTAACTGCACAATTTAGTTTAATTAAAAATTTGATCACAATTGCCTAAGCTGTTCAAAGCTTAAGTAGCATAATGGCACTTGGAACTAGAATATTCCGTTTTCAAATCGCTGAAAAATTAAAGGAAAACAAATCCAAAAGACCAAAACCAGAAAACTCTAAGTCAAATGATAGCTTTAAACACTTATTTAAAATAAACAGGGATTTTTTCAGAATTCAAAATTACTTTTCATTTCATAAAAGTAATTTCAGTCATACTTATTTTGCACTTAAAAGAAAACTAAAACTACTATGGATGGTTTCCCTTACCACATTTTGAGATACTAAGTTTGTATCCTACTTCAAATGGAAAAAAAAATTTACATTTTAAATTCTCATTACGTGTTGAAAGTACTTTCTTTTAAGCTCCATCAAAACAGTTTTTTCCAACTGAACTAAAGAAATACAAAACCAGAAAAAAACCCAGACCTTTTTGATAGAGAAAATTAAGAGTTCCTGGACAGACTACACTAAAACAAAACAAACCTACAAATTGAAGAATTTTCATTTTGGCAAGACTATTTACAGAGACTTTTAAAAAAATATCTCATTATACTAGCTGGAACAGAATGAAAAATTAATGGGAGACAACAATTCCTGAACTAAAGGAAGACAACTGTTTTTTTCAGGCACATGCTGAATACTGTAATTGCTATATACATATTTTAGATTCCAGGGATTTTGGCAGTAATAACCAAAAGTCTGCACAGGAATTTTTGTATTTGAGGGCAACAAATGTTTAAAGAACTGTAAAAACCAGTGCAAATGACTGGTTTTAAATGCAAAACACACATACTTAAAAAATAAATAAATCCAACACCACCACTTGGAAAGCTTTACTTTTCCCAACAATTTGGAAAATGAGTAGCAAAACTACTTATATCACAGATTTTCACTCAAACAGCAAAAGAAATAGTCCTTAAATTAATTCCTTCCAGGGGGTATCTGCAAATTATGGGCAGTAGAACTCCTTTATTGAAAACAAAGCACTTGCCCATCGCACATACATTGAATACACATTTCGTACTTCAATAACAAGTTTTAGAAAAATAAATTTGCTGTCATGTGAGTAGGAGCCATTCTCACCTCTGTACTGAACACCCCTTGCTTCAGGCTTTCAGCAGAAAGCATCACAGGCCTACTTCACGTGAGTAACTACTAATTCATCTCTATTGCTGACAACTTCAAATTATTTACAAACAAGAGAAGAACAGGATTTCCTCATTTTATTACCAGAAAAGCATCTGGCCTATCTAGGCCAAAAATAACTAGACTTAAAACAATAACTTCACTTCCATGTTAGCTGTGAGTCGATCCGTTTGCTCCAAACAGGAGAACACGATTATCCACTACCGCAGTACCTGTTAGCCTCATCTTTTTCCCCTCTCCACCCAGGTAAGTCAGCAACAACATTCCTACCTCAGAGTACTTTGCCCTATAGTTGGCCAAACTGCGCTCCATCCTGCGCAGTCGCTGCAGCAGCTGCTCTTTGCTGAGGCTGTCCATGTTTCCCGGAGGCTCTTCTGTTTCACTTTCAATGTCGGAAGGTGGATCAAAGGTGGGACCGGCTGCATCCAAGTCCAGTCGATTCAATGAGTCTTTTGAAGAAGATCGTACCAGGGACTCCTTAGAAGAAGAGCGGAACAGGGAATCCTTTACTGGGCTTCGAAACAAAGATTCCATGGAGGGAACTCGGAGCTGAAGCCTCTGGGCAAAAGACTGAGTGTCACTCGGCTGCAAAAATTCAAAGCAAGCAATTACTTCGGCACTGCTTTTAGACAAGACAGACACACTAAAGCCCCGGAAAGAGAGACCTGACCAGGGCAAAGGAACGACTGTTGCTTATCCCATGCACGACACCAAATAGCTACCACTCCCTTAGAAGAATCACCTCCTTGTGCCGAAAAATCAAGCATGCAACTACCAGACGTGGGCAATTTCAGAGAGCAACTAAATCCAATAAACTACAGCTCTGATATAAACTTCCAAAAGAATGTATTTCTGTGGAACCCCTTTAAAAAGTGAAGAATATGTAACTAAAATAAATAGTTGCATTTACTGTTCTTCCAAATGTAAAAAAAAATAATTGTGACTCACTTCTTGAGTGAAGTCTGTAGACTGTATTTATCTCAAAGACACAAAGATATTTTCCTATGATTAAGAGAACAAATTTATTGTAAAAGTCCTTGTGCAGTAGTTAGTTCTAGCATGCTGTCTTAAACAGTCTTTTTTTAAAATTTTATTTTAAACGGCTTTATGATTTTTACATAAAATAATCGATTCATGCAGCTAAGGTATTTACGTCATTCAAAAAAAAAGTCTCTGTGCTATGGCACAGCATACTGCAAGTGCTACAGAAGCGATGTGAAAGCATTGTTGCACGATGTCGCCCCTTCCATCAAATGTTGGGACACACGTGCTAGGAGCTACTGCTAATCCCACTCCAGCAAGCTAAATGTTTTCTGAGACATACTAAAGAATGACTTCCACCTTTATCACTAGCAACGTTTTTTTTTTAAGCCTATCAGTTCCTTCCCTTCAGCTAGAAATTAGCTTTCTAGCCACACAATATTCCCTCTACTTTTGAGAGCCAGGTGAACACTCCCAATCCCACGCTGGCTGCGTGAGCAATGAGGCAGCCTGCGGCACGCCGTCAGGTGCTGCTCACCCACCCCTGCAAAAAAAGCTCCACGCATCAGTGACAATGCTTAATGCCAGCTAATGGGATTACACACAAACAAAACACTTTAGTATCCTGACAGGTGAGGACTTGTCATCCCTACTCCAGCACAAAGATACATATCGGGAACTTAAGCCAACGTAACACAACGACAACGAAGCGGTGAAGGAGGAAACAAACCCCCTGTATCCTCCCCGTACCTGTGGGGAAGCTGGTCCAATTCCATCATTTTCTGTTGATCTGGGAAGTGGTTGTTTAGTTATGTTCTACAGGAAGAAAAACAACCGTTAGAAGGAATAGACTACAAGGATTGTAATTCACCGATTCCTACAAATATCATCTGTGCTTTTTCCTTGCCTGTGTTTTTAGTACTTTCTTTTGAATGTTTATTAAGATGTCTTCATGCAAACAAGCTAGTTTGTTAAATTCAAAACAGATTGCTGCAATATACAGAACTACAAAGCAGCTATGTGTGCATGGATTAGTATGAGACATCTGCAAATGCTGACATCTCCAATTAAATTATTCATAATGATTATTTATGCAACACTTATGCACAAATCAAAGAAATATCAAAAAGACAAAATGATAGCAGGAAAAATCTAATTGATGATCAGTGTTGTTTACAGCCAACATGAGTAACAGTGCAATCAACATCAACTTTGTTTAAGTACACTTTGATGGGGGTGGATGGAAACTGCCTGGAAAAAAAGTGCTGGTAACAGGCTGTTTAAGAATCCAAAAAAGCACAGGAAGAAAAACAGACTTTCAGAAAAAACACCCTGTGCCAAACTTCACACCTACATTGCTTTGCATTCCCAAACAAACAAAAAAACTCACCCCCAAAACCAAAACCAACACAACAGAAAACAAGAGTTTTGTTGGGTTTTTGTTGGGTTTGAGGTTTTTTTGGTTGTTTGGTTTTAGTTTGTTTTTGGGTTTTTTTTTTCAGAATTCAGAAACTTCTGTTCCTACTCTGTCTATTCTGCTTTTCCTATGTCCCGTGTTCACAAATTTTTCCAACCTGTATGAATCCAGATGGCTTTCTGGTGTTTACACCAGGTCAAACTGAAGTAGCAAAACACGTCAGAAACCATCTTGGATATAAATTTTTTCCAAGAGAAACAAAGCACTGAGACATAATGAACAAAGTACGGGGAATTCAGCTAAAAGCAGAGTAACTTTTAGTTTTTCATCAAGATGTACCCAGACAGTTATACGCAGCTGTAAAATCTCAGGTGTACATCATACAACTAAAACATCAATCACAATCATCCATCTATCTGCTACACAATTACACCCACAGCTTCTGGTCTGTGTGGATACACAGATAAGCAAATATAAACGTAGAAGTGGAATGATTCAGTGTGAAAGGGCTTTGGAAAGGTTTGACATGGAGCAAACTTAAGGAAGCACAAAAATAGCACAGAAGAAAGAGAAACCCAGACAGTTGAGGAAGCCAGAGAAATGAGCAGTCACCCAGATTCAGACAAAGTGCAATGAGCAATAACCAGTCACACAAGAAGTCTGGATTTGGAAACCGCGCTTCACCTGGCTTGAACAAAGTCTGCATTCTGTTTCTGAGCTCTATTCTGTTGCGGTGGATTTATTCCTGATAGACGAAGAGCTCTTACTGGGTTTTAAACAAAAGCACTCCTACATTTTGTTCTCAGCTCCATTACCTGTTCTTTTTCATTTCCTAACTGGAAAACTAGTAATAAGAGTAATCCAAATAAAAATTTATCTTCTGCTTTATAATTTACAAAGCATCTACCATGCTAGTACTGGATTGACAAGAGAGGAAGACAAATACTTTACCAAGAATTACAAAAAAGTTACAAACCTCTTTCAAAATCATATCTTCTCATACCCATAAAAAGAATTAAAGAAAGGTATGGAGGGCTGTACATCTAATTGATAGGAATAATTTAATAATATTTAAGATCTATTTCAAAACACAAGATCAAGTAGATTTATTAAATCTAATAAGGTGTTTATGAACAGAAAAATGATAGATGCTGTTCTTTTCTGTGAAGATAATTAAAAAGCTGCTATTTAAGGATCTATGAAGATCCTTAAAAAATGCCATTTGAAAACTAACGTGGCCACTTTTAAATTTCTCCTATTAATTGTGCTGACATCTTTGTATTCAATCTGCGCGAACAAAATTAGAACCTGTATTTGGGATTAGACTTTCTATTGGCATAAATCATAAAAGGGATACTAGTAATCTTTTATATAAAGATTTTTTTTTATATAAAAACTGGACTACCACAATTACCTAGCTGCTGCAATTCTAAGTCACTGTGCTCTAGGGCAAAGGGTCATATTCTGGTGTCCACATAGTGAAAGGTAAGCATGAAGGGAAGTTGCTATAGATAAGAACGGATTCCAGAGGCTTTGAAGAGCTTAAAAGCCCTAGCCTTTCATAAGCCTTAAGAGATGTTTCAGCAAAACCAGAAGCACAGAGCACAGGCTGGTGCTTTGAAAGTCTTAAAAACCAGCAGAGTTACGCCAGGGTTTCGGGAGACCAACAGAAGTCTTTCCTCCATGAACCCACAGAACATACACAACTATATGTCTATCCAAAGAGCGCTATACTTACAACCTCTAATAAAAAGGCTGCTTTTTGTCATTAAGATGTACAAATCAGAGCTCAGTTTTAACTGGAGCACATTAGGACATTTTAGTGACATTTGTGCTTCCTTACTTCCCAATTTCTGAAATGCAAACTAATACATCTTGTTTATGTCTCAACAGTATACATAGATTCATAAGCCTAAAGAGTGAAAGCTTAAATGTCTGCATTTAAAAACATTTTACTGTTCTCCCTCCTTCTCAGGTACTTCAAAATTGAGTAGATTATGGAAGAAGAAAGGAGAGCTTAGTACACATCAACTGCTCTCATTTTCCTTTATTTTTTCTTTAAAAAAAATCTCTGTCAAAGAATATTTGAACTATTTCTTCATGCAACGAACCCATACAGCTTAGCTGGTAAAGAGTTTATACTAACTTTGTCTATGTCGAAAAATCCACAATTACAATCACTTCTCTATGACGCACGTTCTCCTGGATGCCACGCTGCTTGTACACACAGTTAAAATACTGCTCTCTTTCAGCAGAATTAATAAGCATTTTTGTGTGTTGATGAAACTTTCCCTGTCCCACACCTTTAGTTTAACTAGGTTTCCCAAATGTATATGGGTTTTTTTAATAAATATTTGTATATAATTGGCCTTCCTCTTCCCTTTAAACTTTTATGTCATTGTTTTCTCCCCTCCAACTCTTACTGTGAGAGTACAGCTCCAGAGCTTTCAAAAAGTTCAGAGAACAAAATCAGTTTTACAGGTACTGTACTATTAATACACATTGGTAAGACATTAATGATAACTCTTACATTATCATCATCTGCCATGCATGCAGTCTCATACATAAATATGCAAATCAGTGATTCCTTTCACTAAAGTATATACTAAAAGATAATATAAAGACAACATTGGAGTATTTGCATAATGTTTTTCAAAATGCAACTCTACTAGGGACGTTCTGTAGTGTAGTTGTGCTGATTTTGGCCGGGATAGAGTTAATTTTCTTCACAGCAGCTAGTGTGGGGCTGTGTTTTGCATTTATGCTGAAAAGAGTGTTGATAAACAAGGATGTTTTCATTACTGCTGAGCAGTGCTTACACAGAGTTAAGGCCTTTTCTGCTTCTCACATGATCCCACTAGCCAGTAGGCTGGGGGTGCACAAGAAGTTAGGGGTGGGACAGAGCTGGGACAGCTGACCCCAACTGACCAAGGGATATTCCATATCATATGACGTCATGCTCAGCATGTAAAGCTGAGGAAGAAGGAAGCAGAGGATGTTCAGAGTTACAGCGTTTGTCTTCCCAAGCAACCATTACACATGGTGGAGCCCTGCTTTCCTGGGGATGGCTGACCACCTGCCTGCCCATGGGAAGCGGCAAAGGAACTCCTTGTTTCACTTTGCTTGTGTGCACGACTTCTGCTTTCCCTAATAAACTGTCTTTATCTCAACCCATGA